TAAGTCTTCCTACCAATATGACCGAGTTGCGAAAACAAGGTCAAACAACTTCTATTGTTGGGGAGATTTTCCTTTTGCAGCGAAGTGCACGATGAAGAGATTCGCTGGTTGATCTCACCGAAAGACGATGGAATATTTTCGTTGTTCTGGAGTCATTTGGCTTTAATACGAACATTATGCTGAGGCAGTATATGGACAAGTTTTCACCTGAAAATAGGGAGAATATCTCAGGAACTGTTTCAACTTGAACGTCGTATTAAAGCCAAACGACTGCAGAACAACAGGAATCAGTCGTCGTCTTCTGGTGAGATCAACCTTCAAATATCTTTAACAGGCACTTTGATACCAACATATATTTTTCATTTGTAAGTAGGCTTTCGATACTACCAGTAAATCAATTATATGAGAGGTATTCACATTATTTCGTTTAAGATAAATAACTGGAAGTTGAATTTTTCCATAATGATATGGGTAGAGTTTACGCATCCATTCATATATATATATATATATATATACATACATACTAAGATTAGCTTTGTTGCTTCATGCTTATCCTATATGCTTGTAGATGAGTGAAGATGTTTCAACAACAATACAAAGGGTAGCTGGGTTTCGAAGTATCCCCTGAGATAACACTGTTGGGGAGACCTTCATTTCGTATGAAAGAGCAGGAAGAAGAGAGTCTTAGATTAATCTTAACAGAAGGCAACCGATGATTTCCGTTGAACTATCGCCGTTCAGGTTGACGCAGTCCACGAGACATCTTCCCTCGCTCCAGGCTAAAATGGGCTGAACTTTCGTCCATCATATGATGGGCATCATCAGAGCTGGAACTTAGCTCAGCTAAACTAGGTCAAACCAAATCAACCAAATTTTTACAAGAATTATTTCTGGGTCTGATCATGTTCATCATATAATTGACGAAAGCTCAGCCCGTTTTAACCCGAAGCAAGGGCGGATGTCTTGTGAACTACGTCAAACTGAACGTCATATTAAAACTTAAAGGCTGCAGTGCAACAGGAATCAGCCATTATCTTTTGGTGATATCGGCCTTCGAATCTCATCTTTATATCTTTTCATACGAAATGAAAATCCCTCTAACAACCATATTCAAGATAACAAGTCAAGAAAACTCATCGGTTTATCCCTAAATGCAGTATATACGCCCTACATTAAGCCTAATATCCAGCCAAATCTTGGCATAAATCCACACGATTAGTCTTCGTTTTATATGGTATGGAATCTATGGCTATTTCTACGCAAAGAGTAAAGTTTCCTGAATCAATGTGATTGACTTGCATGGTCATCAATTTATCGGTCCTCGAATGTGATGGCGAATTACGAAAAGGATGCAAGCGCGTTCAGTTTCCATGTGTCAATATTGCAAGGTTAAAAATACTATTAATTTCGAGAAGGATGTAACTGTCCGGTAGCAACTGAATCCAATTGACGCATCATCTGCGGCCGTTTCCCTCTTCCTCCAACGTTTAGGGAAAGCATAAGCTAATTGACGTTTATAGGTAGATTCTCCAGACTACCGGTAGATTTTATATAAGAGTTGTATTTACTTTATTCCGTCTAGAATGATGAAGGACTGGTAGTTGAATTTTCCCACAGCGATATGAATTTCCCATAGCCTTGCTTCCCAAACGGTATTCTCATACCAGCCCACTCTGGAAGCAAGCCTATGTGAAAATAAAAGGACCATGAGGCCTACTCATTGATTGTGGGAAGATACGACTACTAGTCTTTCATCACTTAAGATGAAGTAGGGTAAATACGGCTCTCATATAAAGAATAAGCTAACCAACCAAGTCATGAGATTGGCCAATGAATGGACAAAGTAAGGATATACGAGGTGGGCAGGATTGCAACTAACCACCTTCCTTGTCTTCTGTCCAGGTCTGACGAAGTATTTCATGGCTGGACAGGCGCAACCTCAACACGAATTACTTGGGGTTTTGGGACGACTTATTTGAACAAATCCATATTCACAACTCCTAGGAAATCCTCCCTTGGCTTGTGATGGGACAAATATACAAATTCGTTTAACTCACTTCTTAAAATAAAATGAAAGGTACTCCAACATCACATTAATGATGCGACGTCGTTGATGGGGAGACTGAAGTAAAACGCACTTTAGGTATAGAAGCTAGGGTGAATTGCTATTGCACAACCAAGCCCTGTTTAATGAGATGTATTCACCCTACTCTAATACGAATACAAGCCCTGTTTGACCAGATTAAAGGTTACAATAAGGATGGGCATTAACCACACCCTAAAATTGCCATAGGGAAAGGTGATTTTTATTTGGCCACACTGTTTGCTAGGTTCAAGGCCTAGGATTGCGTGGCCTTGGATCTGTAATCCCCTCCAATGGTCAGATTCTGGAAGAGTAAAGGGCAACAATGGATGAGGAGCCAATAATGGGCACTTTCTTCTAAGTTTAACTTTCGGAAGTGAGCCCAAATCAACTTTTATGGTAGCTCTGCTTTAACCCATGAGTGAATCAGTATCACGATGGCACTATGTACTCCAGATTATCCCAGAAGTTGCTGGAGCTCTGAGTGCTCTCTTGTTATCACAAGACGAAGATAAGTATCAATAAATCAGCAAATTCTACTAACTCTTTATTGGTAGATTGCGTCGCTTTGAGTCGAACCTTGTATATACCTTCACCTACGGCAGGGATACGATTCCAAGTAAGCTAAGTATATGTGATTTCTAACAACCAGTGAGCCTAGAATATGTTCTCATATCTTCTGAATATGTATTCCCCTCCTACAGGTGAGTAGGATGAATAATGTTCAAAATAGCTTGTTCGTTCTAGAAAGCATAGCGTCCCAGCTAAATTTAGGGCTGAAATTCCCTTCCCCATGATACTGAACGCCCCAGGAAGCATCTCGAAACTCCACCTGTCATCTAGCCCAGGGGACAAAAAGGCAAATATCTAATCAACCAGAATGAGAGTCAATTGATACCCTTTGTTAGACAAGGTTACTGCACATTATTTTATGAATGCCTCGAAAAAACTCTTTTCCTTTTAAACAATGTACTCATTAAATGAGATGCTTCACCATATTTTGTTAATGTAAAGATGGACTGGTAGTTGAATTTACCCACAATCATATGATAAGACCATAATTTTCCATTGAATTTCACAAAACCCTGCCTTCCAAAAGGTACTCTTGCCCAAGCCGGGGTAGACTGCAGTTTCGACCTCTACTAGATCTCATCAACACCCTCAGCGGGACTTGAGCCATGATCGTGCAGCGTGTAATATCGATACGCTATCCACTAAGCCCCACTGCTACGAATGCTATTGGGTTACAAGGTCGATGTGAATTTCAAGGAAAGCCAGGCATTTGTCAATCACTTCATGTGGTGGGATTGTCGATCAAGCAATGTTGTATTTTCTATAGCAATCGACTACATTACTTATAATTTGTCTGCAAGTAATGTAGTCGTTTGGTAAAGCAAAAACAACTTTACTTTAATGACAATCACGCCACAGAAGGTTAAATGGACAGATGCCTGGTGTTACTAAAAAGTCACTTCTGACCTATAACCAAAGGGTACTCTTAGCAGTATGGCCTAGTGGTGAACGTACCGATACTATACTATACATTACCCGGGTTCCAGTCCAACATAAGGTTCTGATGGGAAGTAGGCGAGTTCGAAATAGAGGTCCGCCTTGGGGGAGAATACCTTTGGGGAAGCAAATATGAAATTCAATAAAAAAGTACGGTCTAATCATATCACGATAGCGAAATATGGTGAATAAATCTCACATATATGTGATCAACTGGTAATCTTTAAAAGCAGATACTTAATAAAAAAATATATTATTATTGTAATTAAAGAGGCTTTTTCCAAATGTAGTGAATTCGACGATGGTCTCTTGATAGACTAGTTCTTGACCAGTGCACTTCAGACTGCGCTTAGAAACTTGAAAAATAAATCTTAACTTAGGGTTCAAAATGGCGCTTCGAATAAATCAATTTTAATATCACAACATCTCTACCCACAGCAGATTTACGAGAACAAAGGTGCTAATCAGATTTTTCAGCTTCATTGTTCAGCGTCACAATGACTTTTAAGTGTAAATAGATAGCATTTATATTGCAAAATATGAATATTCGGATCAGTTTCTTTTAAATTGAAAGCAATGCTAGGTCAGTAATATAATTATGGTCATTTTGATATGAAATAGATATGAAACGATGTGTTAGAAATGTGGCAGACATGTATGAACATGGACATTTACATAAAAGGAGGTGTGCACAAGTATACAATAACAATGGTCTATACTGTCTACTAGAGTGGAGGACCGGGCTTTTTGTTGAAGGATATGTCTGGAGAAAGGGGACAGGCAGTACCATAAGAATGGGCAAATTATGGAAACGCATCTCTGTATTACTAGGCATCTGCATGACAAATAACAAGCAGAAAATAGTAGCACAGAGCATTTTGCAGAAGGCCCAATCCGAGACCTCAAAGCAAGGTAGAGTAATGCCGTCTTCAAAGTTCATTTTGTGCCGATATATTTTGGAAATTTGTCTGTGCCTCTGTCGGATTCAATAGTTGCTCAAGGAGTAAATTCTTCTATTACTCTTCTATAGGCAGATTCTCACTCGCAATGCTTTCCTCATCCTCGTCGCCCTCGCTGCCTTCATCAGGCTCATCTTCATCCTTATTATCCTGACCACGCCGTCTTTTGCCTTCAAGGTACAAAACGTGTGTGAATAGAGAGACGAATCCGCCTAGTATGTAGAATAAAAGGCCGCTGATGAATAAACTGCTATATCCAGGCTTGATGAAGGAGCAGACAACCGTGATCAATGACATCAGCATTATGATCCAAGCGAGGATGCACAGGGCCCTGTAAATTTTCGCATGCATAGTGAGGAAGTCAGATCAGCAATCGAGATGGGGCTTTGCAGCTTTGGCCAGGTCTTGTCGAGGGGGCCAACCTGACGAAAGGTAGTTCAAAGAGGCGCTTTATCCTACATGACAAGAAGAGCCGAAATATTCAGTCTACCGCCGGTTTGAAAGGAAAATGCAATCGATTTCACTCAACTGCCAATTGTCCCAAATCTTGGAGCTCTGAAACTCTTATTCATGATTTAGTTAAAGTCTAAAGCCAGATTTATATGAATATAAGTAACATTGTGGACTTTAATGGCAAAAAAAAATTTACATAAGTAAGTAGGCTTTCAAGACTACCAGTTAATCAGATATGTGAGTTGTATTCATCCCATTTCGTTTAAGGTGACGAAGAACTGGTAGTTGATTTTCCCCACAGTGATATGAGTAGCGTTCACGATTCCATTAAATTTCAGATAGCCTTGATTTCACAAAAGGTGGTATCATCCAGGATGGACTGCAATCTCGATTTCGCATAGGTCTTATTAACACCCCCAGCGGGAGTCGAACCATGACAATGCATCCTGTAAGCTCGACGTGTTAACCACTACGCCCTACTGCTAAATTGAGACTTTTACAATAATGATTTCTAGCTCTGATGATGCCCATCAAATGATAGACGAAAGCTCAGTCCGTTTTCACCCTAAACGAGGGAGGAGGTTTCGTAGACTGCGTCAACCTGAATGTTGTATAAAAGCTAAACGACTGCTGAGATTGACCTCTTCTTCATGCACTTTAATACGTAATGAAACTCCCTCTAACATGGTAAGGAATGTACACGTGGGAATTTACCACATCTACGGTTCAACTCTGGAAATGATTATGCAGGCAATGGACCCTGGACTAGGTGCGTTCCAATAAGTCTTCCTACCAATATGACCATGTTGCGAAAATAAGGTCAAACAACCTCTATACAACGAAAGGAGACTGTGACCACACAAAAGGCCACACCATCTTGGTCTTCATACCTTCGATGGTAAGGATAATTTCGATAATTTCATGCTTTTAATTGAGAATATTGATCAATAATAGCATTTTGTTAATAAAAAAAACACCTTTTTAAATGCTGAATGAGTAAGGAGAGATAAGGAGACTTTTTCTAATGTTATGTCTTTGCCTTCGTTCATCCTCTCTAAAATGCTAAGCCAACTATAAACAAAGGGAAAATAAAAAACGGTTTTCTTGAAAACTATGACACGTTCTACAGTTTTGCTCATTTTCAAAGATAAATTTGGCACATTATCCAGATCTGGTTGCCATAACATGTTATGTTCATGTGGTAACTTTTATTTTGGAGGGACTTGTTGTCCCAATTGACAAAGGGTGGCCAAGCACAAAAGTGTCTGCAGAAGCTATTGGGTTCAATAATCAAAGCTGGCTGAGCACAAGGCAGAAATTGGGCATGAGATTGAATGATGTCATGCTTCTCGTTTTGTTGATTATGGTATGTCTGCGGCCAAACGTAAAATTATAGAAGCCATCAAAATAAACAGAATATGAAATACATTGAATGTAAGGAATACCAACAAGAATTTAAGTAAAAATTACTTGTGCTTAACTAATAGACTCAAAGATAAAGAGCGTTATAAACTACCTGCAAAAAAGGAGACGACCAAACTAGTTTTTTCTTGTTCATGCATACGAAATTAAGGTCTCTCCAACAATGTTATCTAAAGAGATTCATATAAACCCAATAATTCTTCAAAGTCTTTTCTTTCCTTGACTGTAATCACGGTCACAGCTTTACTTTTTATTCCATTCTTTCTTTCTCACATGAAAGCAAAAGGCTCATCAACATAAGCAGACTTATGTCTGACTTTGGGCAATTGGAGTGATGGTTAAAATATATGGAGAGAGGGGCTGAAGGTGGTTGTCAAACCTTGATAGACGAGAACAAATATAACTGTTCTGTTCTAATTACTCTGAGCCATTATTGCTGTTTTCGTATAATACGGGCACATGTAGGCACATACCTACACACACACATGCTTCGAAGTTGGCATATGACTTGAACAAACCAAATCACTTTATGTTTATCAAAAAGCTTATATACAGGGTATATATGCAACATTTTAGGATGAGCCGGTGAGTTTTCTTGACACGTTAGCTTGAATATGGCTGTAAGGATGATACCCTCCTCTGATGATTTCCACCATATGAAGGACAAAAACATGTATAAAAACTGGTTTTCGAAGAATCCCTTAATAAACCTATGTTATAATACCTTTCAGTTCGCTTGAAGTGGCGAGTGGAAGGGCCTCACTGTAAGCTGTGGGGGGATTGCCTTGGAGCTGTGAGTGTATATTTTTGCGAATAGGTCCTCGACGCATAGCCCTGCGACCCTGATGAATCCTTACTGGTCCAAGGCCAATCGCTTAGCTGGATATAG